GATATGCATCTGAAAGGTAGATGCTTGCAGCGTTTAGCCTTTTTACAAGCAGTTAATTCTCATTAATTAATGAGGACTCTCTCTGCCCTCTTCCGAAGGGCAGACTGGAGTCATTATCCCTGGGATGGGGAAGAGTCCTGAGCCTCAGCCAAGGTCCTAAGCTCCTCGCCTCCAGCCACGAGCCGTTTTGCAGACCACTGCTCAAACTGACACCCTGGAGGACAGACAGAAAACACTCACGGTGAAGAGGGACCAGGCTGGGGCTGGGGACTGGCCCACTGCCACCATGTAATACCCTCCCAGTGCCCTCATGTCTGTGGCTGAATTAGAGAACATAATCCAGTTCATTCCTAAACTTCAGCAGCTCCATGGCCTTCCCAAGAATCGCAGCAATGGAGTAAGGCATTAAAATAATGTTTTTTTAAGTAAATGGAATAGTTGTGACTTGGATTCCGTATCCAAATCCCAAATGAATTGTGGATTTAACTTGAAAGCAGGCAAAAAGCTTAATTATGCTGCTGAATTGAGATCAGGGAGAAGATAAACCAGCTCCACAGAGCCAATGGGACTTTCACTGCTGACTTTGGTGGGGTTGGGGTGAAAAGAGAAACAACTTCTGTAAATCAGATGATGTCTTATTGGATCTGAGCTTATACTGAAGGAATGCTAAATACGTAAACAGGAATTCAACTCCTGGTGAACTCGTAGCTTCAAATAACCACAAAGAAAGGGGTGGTGAAGGAAACCGAAAAGACAACACCCCTCATTACACAACTGGTCTTTAAGAAAATGAAGATAATGTGGAAAGCGTAACATGCTCCCAGAAAAGAGAAGACCCAGCAAGTCCCATCCTCAAGTGGCTGCCTTGTAAGTAAAGGAGACTTCTGCTCAGGGATATTCAGGTTCATAAAAATTATAAATGATTCCACTACCTGCCAGTTTCTTTTTCAATTACAAAAGTTAGTAATGTATGGAATTGCACTAATTGGAATAAATGCATAAGCACGAAGAGTCAGAAACATACTCTATGCAAAGGCAAAACTTCCATATGGTCCCTGGTTTGCTATGACACAAGGAAAGCTTTAACACGATGTGTTAAGTTCCTGAAAAATACAAGTGCACTTTTTTTTCTGGATGCTGGCTTTCTGGCTGATTTTTTTGATAGACGCTGAAGCAAATGCCATCCTGTATATAGGAGTGATCTCATCTTCTAGTATTGACAATTAGGGTTGCAACATCAACTTTTGATAGAGAGAAGAGCTGGTAAAAAGAAATGACAGCAACCCGTAATTGCCTGTGCTGGGAAAGAGAAACTGTGCACTCTGCAACCCACTCATTGCAATATCTACCATGAATGAGGTGCCATTAAAATGGTGCAGCTACGGTTGCCTATTGCTTTCAGCAAATTGGAAATGAGCCTCGTAGCAATATTTGGCTTGATTTGTTCGTTCACATGAGGTTGTGAAAACAGCTTAAGTCATCCAGCTATAATACAGTAGCCCAGATAGGAGCCACTGCTATTGGGGTAGCAGTGAAAGATGAGGAAAACATAAAAATTGCTCTAGTAGGAAAGGTCCGATCCCACGAGGTGAGAGCAGCCCCAGCTTTTCTGGTATGGCAGTAGGGCAGGCAGCTCCTGGATGGCCCAAGAGTTTGCATTGCCTCCTCAGTTTCTCCATGTGAAGGGCAACCCAGAGCAAGAGCCAGTGCTCCTGTTGAGACAAATTGCTCATGGCTCAGAATAACAGGATGCACATCACTGTTCTTGATTTCCAAACAATTGGCTGTCTGCGGTATTCTGAGCAGCATTAGCAGATACACAGTAAGCATAATTACATCTACATCTAGAAGAGGGAAAAACCTGCAGTGGTTTAAGTCTTCCACTGATCCAGCTACTTATAGTGATGCCTCTTTGGAAAACTGTGGCCTGTAGAGTTGTATCCTGTTCACCACTCCCAATATACATATTTCACACCCCTAGTTGTCCTGAAAATAGGTTTTCCCCTCTTAAGGATAAGAAAACAACCACCAAATTAATATTAGAAGGTGGAAGACAATAAATTGTTTTCCTATTAATTTTTTCAGGCTAGTCTAATACTATTATTAAAAATAACAAATAAGTGCTTGTAACCCTCAAAAGAAAAATAAAGACAAGAAATATTTTCTCCAAATATTTGTTTTTCTAAAGCAAATTAAAGAAAACATTCAACCACTGTGACTTAGCGTATATCGCTCTCCCTCAAGGCACAGCTGCAGACAGAAGAGGAATTGTTACAAATACCCATCAATCCCCAGAAGGCAAGGCCCAACCATATAATTAGACATTGAGGAAAAGGCTTATTCCTTGTTCCGTTCCTTTTACAAGATCTTTTACATAAATCCTTGGGTCCGTACTTAACCGTTAGTGAAAAGAAAATGCTTGACATTTTGCCCAGGTAACTACTGAGCAACACTGAACTAGGACTTCGGGCTGTGGCACACATACCCAACTGTCACATCCATAAATATTAATAAAAGGCTATTACTTGAAACAGGGATACAAAAGCACCTTCCAGCATAAGCCCAAAAACATCGATCACCGAGTTCTCTCTATCTGGTTGGGGACTTCTGCCTACATAAAGCTGAATGGCAGCCTTTAACTGGCTGAGTTTTGGAGGAGGAAGGGTAAAGCACAGGAAAAGCCCTTTTCAAGATGTAACATAAGAAAACTGCTAAAGGCTGTTCTAAATAAAGCATGCAAGCCCTTCCTAAAGCCACCTTTAATAAACTGCAACACTTCCAAGGAAGGGCAAAAAAACCAACATGATTTTAGTTCTGCCACAGTCGTGAATGTTTGCAGAAGTCCCCCCCCTCACTGCTCACGTCATTTTGCATCCCAAGGATGTAAGAGAGTTCATGTCTTGGTAACTCGGAGTCAAGAGCTCAGCTTTCTCCGGATCCTATGGCTGGAAACTGCCCACCTCTCCCGCAAGCTGCCAAACCCTTGTTTTCCTTTTTCATGCCAGCTGCCTGCCAGCCTGGAGTAAGAGCAAAAACCGAATACTACAAAGCAGGACATGAGTGATCTGAGCAAAGTATGAGATTCAGGGACTCCAACACAGACTTACTCCGGAGAACTCATTTAATCCTTCTGCCTGAGTTTTCCTGCCTGAAAAAAAGCAGCAACTATCAATTACCTACTTTGTAGGTCACATATTTGCAAAGCCCTCAGGGAGATGCATTATACAAACTATATGCACACATGTTAACGCTGATTAATTTTCTCTGCGCAAACATACCCTTTTTTCTTCTTCATTGCCCCTCCTCTCATTATATCAGCAGCCTCATCTGGAGGAGGACGAGGAACTGCTGACAGCTGAAGTATTTTCCACAGTTGTTCTTTTGAGATTCAGAAATGCAACCACTCAACACAGCCCTGTGTTCAGCTGACTGTTTCCTTAATAGCTTTGTGCTTTCATGTGTTTCCTCATTTTCTGTTACATGAATTTAAAGCAATCTGATTTCCAAGTTAATTTGAAATGATGCAAGATCCATTAGTTGAGGGTATCGTTTGCAAAATAATTCTGAGGGACAACTTTCACTCACTATACTTCCAGACATACTCTCAGCAAAGAAAAGCAGTGCTAGTAATGTGAATAAAGTCAGCAGCATTTGACCCAAAATGCAAGTCAGGATACAGCAGAGCACAGAAATACAGCCCAACTGTAAAAGAAGCTTGTAATAAATACAACAGCTCCTACACAGCCTGAGTTTTACACCAATGAGCAGCCCTTCTGTGATAGAGCTTATACAAATGATCAGAATATGCATGCAACTTTGCAAAAGACCACTGATAAGCAATTTTTCTTAGGATTTTTGGATCCACATTTTCTGAGGAATACAATTAAAACACTATGTGGAATAAAACTACTGTTTCATTTATCACCAAGTAATCCAGAATAAAATTGAGGTCTGTGCTTCGTGGACAGCTCCACAATAGCAGTTCCCATCAGACATCTCAGAAGCTGACCCTCTGCACCTGAGGGCAGAATTGGGCTTCCTGACTTGCAGCATCCAAGTACAACCATTTATGCTCACGGCTGGAATAAACCGCACCAGGACGCATTGTCCAGAGTGGTTGTGGAGTCTCCCTCCTTGGAGACCAAAAGCCGTCTGGACATGGTCATGGGTAACTGGCTTTAGATGGTCCCTCCTTGAGCAGCAGGGTTGGACCAGATTACCTCCTTTCCAACCTCAACCAACCCGTGATTCTGTGAAATGGGCAATGGTCTGGCGCATCTTGGATGAATGTCCTCCAGCTGTCACTGCAGCCTCTGGTCTGGATACTGTGGAGATGTCAGAAATAACACTTCAAAGTGGTCCTTGAGTAAATGCAATCGGAAATACCCAGACTGCTGAAGTTGCAATCGTTAGAAACCAGAAAACTCCAGGGCAGAGGCTGAGGGATGGAGGAGTGGCTGCATTTGCATCATGCTTTTCAACAACCCCAAATCCCCACCTCTTACATGTGTATGCAGTCAACAGCTTACAGGCAGGTCATGCACATATTCCACACACAAAGCCAGCAGCCTTCTAAGACAGCAATATTGTCACCTCTGTTTTTACTGACCACCTAATGAAGTGGGAAAGCTGAGCAATACCACTATAAAAATAGGACAGATTAACTTTCCTTAAGGTAAAGTCATTGGACAATTTAGGTTGATAATGCTGCCAAGAGAAAGGGGCTTGCAGGACAATCCTCAAGAAACAGCATCTCATCACTGTATTGAGCTGTTTAAAGTATACAAAAAAAAAATCTGTGTTCACAAAAAGGAAGGATTTGGGGTAGCTTTACTCCTGCCAAGCAATCTGCTCTCGCCCAACTATAAACTCAAAGGCAGAGAACACACTGACTAGCAATATAATGTCAGAAGTATTGTAAAAGGGAAGAAGTAATCATGCCTGCTTTTAGAAAATTGCATGGTGGTCTCATTAGAAAGGAATTCAATTGCAATAGTTACCTCGGCATGTAAAGGACTCGTTCTGCCACCACAAATCCCACCCTGAAGAAGAGGTTGCTGGCTGGGATGAATGGGAAAACCAGGAACAACAAGCCAACCAAAACTTCTTTGTGTTCCAGTTTCTGCAATAACACAAAATTAAACAAATATCAACTAAAAAAAAAATCCAACTTCATACACCACTAACTTTCCCCTTTCTTTTTGAGATTCCTATTCATAAAATAAGCAACTTAGATTAATGATTGATATGGTCTGCATTGAAAAAAAAACAACTATTCCAATACACTGTCCTTTCATATTTATGTATTGTTTGTGCTCCTGATATGCCCACAAAGTGCACAAATACTAACCCCAGTGTGTATTATTAGCCTTAGTATCTTTTCCAAGGTCAGCTCTATTGTATGCAGCTCACTTGAGATGGCATGGATAGTACTTAAAATATACCCCAAATTGGTAATACTTAAGTATAGAATAGTGTGAAAATATATAGTAGCATGACTACCACAGTGTGGCTGTATGTAAATACACAAGCAGATATCCCATACACACAGACTGCTGTGTTCAATCCTAAATGTTTATAACTGAGAAAAAGCTGTTCAATCAGTCACATTTTGAGTAAAGAAAACTAGCCCCAAATGGCACATTAATGCTGCCATTTTATCCCTTTTGAGACAATATCTAAACTTAAAATGATACTTTTGTACACGAGGTCTCCATACTCATACAGAGTTGGAAATCTGAGACATGCTATATATTAAAATTAATGTCTTTTTACTTGAGCTCAGTTAATGCCCTTCACTTGAGCTCACTTTAGTGTTGGTTTGCTCTTGGAGGAGAAATCGAATTGCCACACGCAGTTCAAAACTGCTGTGATCTGCATGGTGGACACGAGCATCTCGGGATAACCATGATCAGCAGCAGCTGCTTCGCAGGCAAGTGGAGATTCAGCTTTAGCTCCACCCCAAGAGGGTGAACCAGCTCATGCTTTCAGTCGATGATCTCAAAGGATGGCATCAGGCTAACAGAAGTATAGCATCAGGTCTGTTAAATCACCCAGGCAGACACCTGTGCCTTCCTGCCCTGCAATACCACTGCCTTTGAAGCATCCTTCTGCAGCCATTGGGAGAAGCTTTGTCATGCTTAGAAACAGATGCAACCAGAATCACTTAATGGCTGCAGCCCTTTCTAATTGTTATGGGCAATTTCTCAGCTTTGGAGAGTGAATTGACTTCCACCTCACTGGAAGGATCTAAATTTAGAAACATTGAGCAAGATTTTTGAGGAGCGAAACAGAGCCCAATCAATGATGCAGTGCCAAGCAGTACAACCCGTCTTGCTTTTGCACAGCTACAGACTGAGACATCAGCTACCACTGGCTCAGGCAGTGGCTGAAATTCAGAAGATTCAGTATTAAAATACAGTCATTCCATTCTGTGGAAAAGACGATGAACATATTCTATGGGTACCAAATGCAAGGGCACATCTTAAGAGGCTCTGATCTCACTTTAGAGGAGCTGAGCCACAGGATCATAAAAAAGTGCACTGGTTTCCCCTAGCTTGTAGGGCAAACACAAGGCAGAGAGGGGAGAAGAATTCATGTCTCCACATCAGTATCTGCTTTAAACAGCACCACAGTTACCTGCTTCTATTATCTACTTTTCCAGTGTTGAATCACAATTGCTAGTGCATTCTTGCAGTCACGACAGCATCTAAAATATATTATTCCCAGAGTTGAAGTTGATACCAATCTATAAAACTGATGAGCAGACATGCCCGGAAACGGTCATTTTGGATTGGAATTACAATAGAAAAATGACTAGAAAAAAATGGATCAAAAATGATTTCTCAACTCTGAAGGTAAAGTATCAGTCCTAGCTCAGCTCCAACTTCCCTCCTATCCTGCTCAGGACATATACTCCATTTCTCTCCTGCCATCTGACACTCTCTTCCCACCTTGTCTGCTGCCGCTGCTCTACCCCAGGGGTTTGACAACAAAGACCTGGAGGCACAAGGTGACAGTTCAGGCCAAATGGAGTACTCTGCTAATGCATTAAACGTTCCCTGTCCCCCAGGATACACTCTTGATTTCAAATGAACCAGCTATCAAATATTTCTCCAGTTGCTGTTCGTTAAATCAATAATTGGGAAAGCAACCTCTAGTTTACATCTCTAAGAAGGACACAGTGTTATCCAAGGCTGCAGCACTGCAGATAAGCAAAGGAAACCAAATGCTGGAGAATGACAAACAAAAGCCGTATATCAAATGGGAAAAAGGAAAATGGGGGAATTAGCTGGGCTGAAGGAGAAAATGTTACTGTGTGCCCTTTCTCCCTCCACAGCAAGTCACAGCTCAAGACCAATGCCAAGGAAGGCTGCCAACTCAGTCCCTCCGGCAGGCCTCAGAGACCCAAGGCTCAATGCCCACAAACCAGCCTCACGAAGCAGCAGAGCCTTCTGTGGTGCTACTTATTTCAGAAATAAGAAACATCCAGTAGCTGGCAGCGTCCTTTTAAAAGCATTCAGTTCAGGTAGAGGCTTTTCTGAAGAGCTGGTCCTTGAAGGCCAGGCTTTGACTGATTTTGTGCTACACGTTGTCCTGCCTGCGAGCCGGCAGGTCAAACTGCTGAGCTCATATTGCAGTCACTCCACAGCTCAGTTTGGGTTAACTCAGCAGCCATCAACTTCGCCAAAATTTGTACAGGCGCTTCCTGTATTTGACACCTTGGCCCTGCGGCTGGGTCCTGCCTGGGAGGAGAGGCTGGGGAGAGCACCTGGGCAGGAAGAGCAGGTGGGGTTGTCTGAAACTCACCTGTGGTCAATGAGACAAGCCTGAATGCCACCTCTGGTGCAAGCAATTCCTAAATCACTGGCTGGTCAAAGCTGGGAATTTATACTGGAGGAGAAGGTACCCTATTCACTGACAGATCTTATTTCCCACTTCCCTAAATAGTTGCTGTTGACCACAGGTACTGAGCTAATCTGGCTTTGCCCTGAACAGCATGTTCTCCCATCCCAGCCTTCCAGGGGCTAGAGGCACAGCAGTGCTATCTGTCCCTACCTTCCCAGCAAGGGCTAACATCTGCTCACCTAGGCAGCTCAGAGAAAACACAAAAAAGGACAGAAGTGCAACCATGATGTGTTGAAAGGATTTTGTGTACCACAGGTGATAACTGTAGACAGCTAAAAGCTAACAGCACAAGTCTCACAGGTCACAGGACATCATATTCTCCTTTATCTTTTTCCCTATCAAAATATACTTAGCAGATTCACCTTTTATTCCTCCTTTCCCTGGAGGGGTTAATAGATCTGTAGATGAGTAGACAAGCAAGACAGAACAGCGCAAGAATGTCAGGGACTGGCACTGTAGGGCTGCAGGAATAGAGGGCAGCAGGATCTTCCATCTGGCACAAGCCACAGGAGATGCCGTCCACATGTCTTTTAAATTAAAAAAAAAAACAACTTGTAGCTTGTTACATTATTTTTTTTGGGGGGGGGGGAGAGGAGAAAAAGAAATATTGGGAGCATTTATTTGGTTTAACTACTCTTGTCATACGAGCCCGCTTCAGATAAAGCTAGAGATAAAGGTGGCAGAACCAGCATCTTCCAGGTACCCAGAGCAGTAGCAAAAGCTTTTAAACAGTCATAGGCAATTTTCTTTGTCTTCCTTTTTCCTTCAAATAAAAAAAGCTAGAACTAGAAATTATAGATCACTTTATTCCTTTTACAGAGAGACATCTGCTTTCCTCTTAAAGATAATGCCTTCTTTTGGAAATACAAAACTTATCTTCCTTTTATCACAGGTCTCTGGG